GAAGGTGGGCAGCCGCATCCAGCAGGTGCGGACGGTGCAGGAGCCCGACATGCCGTGGCACTTGCACTCCTGGCGCATCTCTGAGAAGACAGTCTGGAAGGAAAGGGGAATTTGGAGCTTTGTGAGCAGCCTGGGGACCCCCCTGGGGACCGCCGTGCTTCTACACCCCTCATTTCTGCACTGTCACATCACTCAGACATCACTCGTCCCAAAGACAAGCGCAAAACCCATCTCCAACTATTCCCAGAACAGGCTGAAGGTCTTGGTGGTTGTGCTCATCTCTGTGCCTGGAAGGAAAGGGGGATTTGGGGTTTTGTGAGCAGCCTGAGACCCCCTTGGGGACCACTGTGCTCTACACCCCTCTGCAGGCTGTCACATCACTCAGACATCACTTGTCCCAAAGACAAGAATGAAACCCATCTCCAACTGTTCCCAGAACAGGCTGAAGGTCTTGGTGGTTGTGCTCATCTCTGTGCCTGGAAGGAAAGGGGGATTTGGGGTTTTGTGAGCAGCCTGAGACCCCCTTGGGGACCACTGTGCTTCTACACCCCTCGTTTCTGCACTGTCACATCACTCAGACATCATTTATCCCAAAGACAAGAGTGAAACCCATCTCCAACTGTTCCCAGAACGGGCTGAAGGTCTTGGTGGTTGTGCTCATCTCTGTGCTTGGAAGGAAAGGGGAATTTGGGGGCTTTGTGAGCAGCCTGGGGACCCCCTTGGGGACCACTGTGCTTCTACACCCCTCTGCAGGGTGTCACATCACTCAGACATCACTTGTCCCAAAGACAAGTGCAAAACCCATCTCCAACTGTTCCCAGAACAGGCTGAAGGTCTTGGTGGTTGTGCTCATCTCTGTGCCTGGAAGGAAAGGGGGATTTGGGGTTTTGTGAGCAGCCTGAGACCCCCTTGGGGACCACTGTGCTCCTACACCCCTCATTTCTGTAGTGTCACATCCCTCAGACATCATTTATCCCAAAGACAAGAGTGAAACCCATCTCCAACTGTCCCCAGAACAGGCTGAAGGTCTTGGTGGCCGTGCTCATCTCTGTGCCCACCCCAGTGCCCTCACCAAGCCCCCAGCACCCTCACCATGCGCCCGGCCTCGTTGTTGTGCAGGTTCATGAGGAAACGCAGGTCCCGGCCCTTCTCGCTGGAGTCCACAAACTCCCTCCCAAAGAGGCGACCGAAGTCGATGTTGTCACTGCAGCCCCCCCAGTGCCAGTCAGGGCCCCCAGGGCCGCGGCGCCGGTAGTCACAGGTGCAGGACTCGATGGATCCCTCTGAGCACGACCGGGCCACCGAGTGTGTCACGCCAGCACTGGTGATGGCAAAGATGAACGCTGTCTCCCGGCAGCCTGTGGAGGGAGCGGGGCCTCAGGATGCTGCCAGGATGGGGAGGGGGTACCCCCTGGCACCCCCAACCCTCCATCACGACGGGCTGGTGATGCCCCATAGCAAACCAGGGCCGCTTTGATGAGCATCCCAACTTGGGGGTGCGTGGAGGAGGTCTGGGGCACCCCCGTGCTGCCCCCCAGCCTCACCCCTGTTGACGATTTTGCCGAAGATGTTGGGGCCCTGGGAGGTGGGGCAGTTCCAGCGGCGGTTGCGGAACTGCCACTTGCACTCCTTGATGGCGGTCTGGAGGCCGGAGCTGACGCTGTGCAGGATGCCGGGGTTCTGCCGGATCAGCTTGCGCTGCTTTCGGCTCAGCAGCTGCAGGCTGGGGTCCAGCACCAGCTGCACGTTCTTGGAGTCTGTCAGCAGGTTGGTAGACGAGGCCACGTTGATGATGCCCCTGTGGCACAGGTGGGGATGGTGACCACTAGCGGGGCGTCCCCAGCGCCTCCCTCCTCACCTCAACCTCCCTGCAGGCTCCTGGGTGCGACCGCAGCATCCCCTGGAGGGATCCCAAACGGGGGTCGCAGCCCCGTGTCCCCCCACACGCCCCATTCCTGCCTACAGGGCAGTCCCCGCCGTGCCTGTGCCAGCCCCGCCCTCCCGCCTCACCACCCCGGTGCCGGTACCGGTGCCGGTGCCGGTGCTGTCCGACTCACCACCACCGCCCGCTGTTGTTCACTGCCAGCGTGTTGGAGAGGGAGGAGAGGGCCAGAGCCCAGAGTGCCCGGAGCGCCAGCCCCAGCGCGGCGGCGCGCATGGCTCCGGCCCCGGGAGCCCCGGCAGAGTGCGCGGGCGAGCGGCCGTCCCGGTATTTATGGTGCCGCAGAGCCCCCGGCCCGGCCGCTACATCCACGCGTGTTTCCGGACGCGCGGGGCGGCTCCGAGATGAGGACGGCCGCGGGGGGACGCGGGGAGCGCCGGGCGGGCGGGCGGGCCGGCACCGCCGCCGCCACCGGGCTGCAGCCGGTGGCCGGGGCGCGGCGTCGGGGGTGCGGTGCCCAGCGCACGCTGACCGGGCCCTGGAGCGCGGCGTCGGGCGCTCCGTTGGCGGTGCCGGTTCTGGGGAGCCGCCGCTCGGCACTCTGTGCGCGGTACTCGGTGTCGGTACCGCTGTTGGCTCTCGGCGATGCGTGCGCGGTACCCGGTGCGGGTAGTCGGTACCGGCAGCTCCCCGGGGAGCCGGCACGGCTGGACTCGGCTCGGCGCGGCGGGTGCACAGCGCTCAGCACCCGGGAGCATCTTCCAGCCCCTTCCCTCTTATAGGGGCGGCGCGGAGGGTCCCCGTGGGCCGGTCCCGCCGCGCGGGGCCTCCCCGCGTCCTCGCCCTAACAATGGGGAGCGGCGGAGCTGCGGCATCTCTTACGGGGCGGCGGGAGCGGCGGCGCCGGGGCTGTCCGTCACGGCCCGGATTAGCCCGGCGGGGTGGCTGCGCCCCGGCCCCGTGCCCAGAGCTCCCGGCTGCCGCCCCCCGCCTTCCCCGCCGTCCCGCGCACACGTTCTACAGGCACCGGCACCGGCACCGGCGCGGGGAGCCCGGCACGGCCCGCGACAGCTCCCGGTGCGAGGAGGAGCTGGTCCCGGAATAACCTGGGACGGCCCCGGACGGCTCCGGGTGCACGGAGGGAGCGGGGATAGCCCAGGATGTCCCGGGACAGCCCGGGGTGCACAGGGGCAAGGAGTGACGGGATCTCCCGGGACAGTCCCGGGCGCACGGGGGAGGCAGAGCTCCGTGACAACCCAGGGCGCACGGGGACACCGTCCTGGGGCTTTCCGGGGGACGCGACGTGCGGTCCCCAGGGACGGGGACGGTCGAGGCTGCTGGGCGCCCCTCCGGAGCCCACGGAGCGCTGTCCTGTCCCAGTCCGTGCCCGGTGGAACGGGGCTACAGCCTCTCCCAGCCGCTGGAGCCCGGGTTGTCCCGGGCTGTGCCGGTGGCACCCTGGACCCCCGTGAACGGTGCCTACAACGCGCGTGGGCGCGGCACGGCCCCGCACGGCTCCCGCGGCCCCGGAGAGCCCAGTCTGGGCCGGTACCCGGTGTCGGAGGTAGGGATGGACCGGGGAGCGGAGGGATTGAGGGACGGGGGACAGAAGGAAGGGCAGGGGGTGCTCGGATGGTGGCGGCCGGACGTGCCCACGGCCGGAACACGGGCACGCAGGGCTGGTGCTGGCCCGGTCTCGCTTGGGACAAGACTGTCCCCGTCATCCCCCGCCCGGGCCGGTTGTGGGTGGGTGTGAAGCCCCCAGTGCGGGGCCCGACGGGCCGGGGGCCCTGAGCTGAGTCCCCCGTTGGGGCGGGAACCGGGGGGGGTAATCCCCCCGCCGCGGTTTCCCCGGACCAGTCATGCGGGGCCGGATTAGCCCCGCTGGCCCGTCACGGCCCGGGGCCGCCGCTCTCCAGTTTAATTCAAGAACGGACAAAGCCCCGGGACGGCGGCGGGGGTGGGGGGCTCACACCGGCACCCACCCGCACCCCTTCCCCCGGCCCGGGAGGAACCCAGGGCCGAGCCGGGGTCTGCTCCAGCACGGCGCTCCCGACTCCCCCGCCCCGGTTCCCGGCCGGGCCGGGCCGTGTCCACGCCCTCGGGCCTCCGCCCCGTCGGGGCTCCCGGGGCTGAGGTCAGCGGCCGCGGGGAGGCCCCGGGGCGCGGCTGGGAGGGCCCTGCCCGGGGCTGTGCCACCAGCGGCGGGGCGCAACCACGGCCCTCGCCTCCCCCGCTCCATCCCGGGGCTCTCCGCTCCTCGCACTCCCTGCCCGCTGCCCCGAGCCCCCCCAGTTCCCTCCATCTCCTCTCTGCTGCAGTCCAGGGCGGTCCGGCGGCCCGGTGCTCTGGATCCCCCCAGTCCTGGGGTGCCGCTGGAACAGTTCCCGCAGCCGTCGGGGCGCCCGGTGCTGCCCGGCACCCCCGGGATGGCCGCCGGTACCTGCCTGGGAGCGGGGGGCATCCGTCCTGTCCCGTGGCGCCGAGCAGCGACGGACAAGTGGACAACGGGGACAGACGGACGTGGGAAAGCACCCGCGGGTTCCCCGCGCCCCGTCCCGTGCCCTGCCCAGCCTGCGAGCACCGGGGCATCCTCCGTACCGACCATACCGGCACGGTGCGGGGGTGCTCAGCCTGTCCCCCCGGGACGGTGTGGGGGTCCCCGTCCCCCGTGAAGCACAGGGACCCCCCCCCGGTCGGGACTCTGCGTCCCCGGTGCTCATGGCGGGGGCGGAAGAGCCGGGACCCCGCTCTCCCCGTATCCCCACCCTGCCCTCCCGGTGCGGGTCCCGGTGCCCCCAGGACCGGGCTGATGGCTGGGGGGGGCGGGGGACGACGACACACGGGGACCCCCCCTCAGTGTCCCCCCCCTCACTGCTGCAGCCGTTGCCATGGTAACGCCCGGTGCCTCTCGCGATTGCACCCCCCGCTCCCCCCCCCGCTCCGCCGCTTCCCGTGCGCGCCCCCGGTCCCGGAGGGGAGGGGGAGGTTGCGGGGAGCGGTGCGGGGCGGCGGGAGGGGAGGGGGGGTGAGGGGGGGGGTTAACCGGGCGCTCTCGCGAGATCGGCGCGATTGGGGCCTCCGCTTCCGGCGGCGGGAGCGGTGCAGAGTCAGCGGCGGCGGGGGCGGAACCGGCACCGGCACCGGCACCAGGTGCGGGGGGCCGCGCCGCTCGGGGATGCGGGGCGCGGGCATCGCCGGGGGGTGCGCGGGGATACGCGGAGAGGGGGGGGGTCGGCACCGCACCGGAGCGGGGGGGCTGCAGGCAGTGCCGGGTGCCCGGTGCGGCGGGGGCGCGGAGCTCCCGTGGGTTGGGGTCGTACCGGGGGGCGCGGGGGGGATGCGGTGCCGTGCGGGGCGGCGGGGGCGGGGGGCGATGCGCAAGGGGGGGCGGCGCAGTGCGGGGGGGGAGGCGGGGGTTTGGGGGCGCGCTGTCGTGGGGGGGGGTGAATTCGGGGGAGCGGTGGATTCGGGGGTCCCGGGGGCTGCGCACGCTGCGGGGGAAGGGGCGCGCTGCGGTTTGGGGGGGGGGGGGTGATGGGGGCCTCCCCCTCCGGCGAGGCTGCGGTGATGGGGGCATCGTGCGGAGGTCGGGGTGCAGAGGAGGGGTCGGGTCCAGGAGGAGGGCGACAGCCCTGCCTCAGTTTCCCTCAGTGCAGCGTTCTGGGCTGTCCTTCTGCAAGGTGCAGCGGGGGGGCCGGCTCAGCATCCCCCGAGCTGCACACACAGACACCCCCATAGAGTGCACAGCCCCCTCCCCACCTCCTTGCATCCTGGCATCCCCCAAACCCTGCATCCCCCCCAGGACATGAGGATCCCCAATTCCTGCAGCCCCCCCCTCTCCCACTCCAAGCGCGGGGGACCCCTCAGCTCCACCCCTGCAGATTTCAGGGCCTCCCCCAGCCTGCCCCATGCCCCCGCAGGATCCGGCCTCGGAGCCAGCGCCGCCGTCACCATGGGCAACATCTTCGGGAACCTGCTGAAGAGCCTGATTGGGAAGAAGGAGATGCGGATCCTGATGGTGGGGCTGGACGCTGCCGGGAAGACCACCATCCTCTACAAGCTCAAACTGGGCGAGATCGTCACCACCATCCCCACCATCGGTGGGTGGGCTTGAGGGGGGGCACTGAGCAGAGACTTCTCCCCGTCTGGGCTCCTTTGAAGGGGCTGGTGGCGGCCCCGTGCCTCAGTTTCCCTCCGCTGTCGCTCCCCGCAGGGTTTGACGTGGAGACAGTGGAGTACAAGAACATCAGCTTCACCGTGTGGGATGTGGGTGGGCAGGACCAGGACACAGAATGGGGTGACCAGGGCCAGTGCCAGGGCCAGAATGGGGTGACCAGGGCCCAGCACCTCAGAATGGGGTGACCAGGGCCCAGCACCCCAGAATGGGGTGACCAGAGCCCAGCACCAGGGCCCAGAATGGGGTGACCAGGGCCACCATCCTCTACAAGCTCAAACTGGGGGAGATCGTCACCACCATCCCCACCATCGGTGGGTGGGCTTGAGGGGGCTCCTTTGAAGGGGCTGGTGGCTGCCCCGTGCCTCAGTTTCCCTCCGCTGTCGCTCCCTGCAGGGTTCAACGTGGAGACAGTGGAGTACAAGAACATCAGCTTCACCGTGTGGGATGTGGGTGGGCAGGACAAGATCCGGCCCCTCTGGAGGCATTACTTCCAAAACACCCAGGGTAGGTGTCTCAGGGGACAGCGTGGGGGGGACTCGGGGAGCACCACAGGAAGCCCTGATGGTGCCCTCTGCTCTGGCCAGGGCTGATCTTCGTGGTGGACAGCAACGACCGGGAGCGGGTGAACGAGGCACGGGAGGAGCTGATGCGGATGCTGGCGGAGGATGAGCTCAGGGACGCCGTCCTCCTCGTCTTTGCCAACAAGCAGGTGGGCCTGGGGGTGGGGAGAGCCTGGTGCTGGGGCTGAGACATCCCCGGGATGTCAGGGCAGCTGGCTGGGGTGGGACGTGCTGTGGCATCAAGGCTGGCCTCAAAGAGGTTGTGGGACAGAGCCACGTCCATGCCTGTGGCACCAGGGATGGTGGTGGCCCCCAAGCGATGGTGGTGGCCCCCAGAGCCATGCCCGTGACATTAAGGGATGATAGTGGCCCTCCCTGTGGCACCAGGGATGTTGGTGGCCCCCAGGGCATCCCCGTGGCACCAGGGATAGTGGTGGCTCCCAGGGCATTCCTGTGGCACCAGGGATGATGGTGGCTTTCCCTGTGTCATCAGGGATGGTGGTGGCCCTTGGAGCTACCTCCGTGTCACCAGGGATGGTGGTGGCCTCCAGAGCCATCCCCTGGCACCTGGTGGCTCCCAGGGCATTCCTGTGGCACCAGGGATGATGGTGGCCTTCCCTGTGTCATCAGGGATGGTGGTGGCCCTTGGAGCTACCTCCGTGTCACCAGGGATGGTGGTGGCCTCCAGAGCCATCCCCTGGCACCTGGTGGCTCCCAGGGCATTCCTGTGGCACCAGGGATGGTGGTGGCTCCCAGCACATTCCTGTGGCACCAGGGATGGTGGTGGCCTTCCCTGTGGCACCAGGGATGGTGGTGGCCCTCAGAGCCATCCCCACAACACCAGGGCTGGTCTTTAACACAGCCCTGGCCATGCCTGTGGTGCCAGGGCTGGCATCTCACATCCCCCTGGCACATTCCCCCTCCTCCCTGCAGCATCAGGGCTGATGATGCTCCCCTGTGGCAGAGTTGTGCCCACTCCCATGGCATCAGGGCTGGTGCCAGCCCCCGTGGAGGGGCAGGGAGGGCTGCTCTCCATTCCTGTGACCTCCCTTGTGTGCTGCAGGACCTGCCCAACGCCATGAACGCAGCGGAGATCACGGACAAGCTGGGGCTGCACTCCCTGCGCCACCGTAACTGGTACATCCAGGCCACCTGTGCCACCAGCGGGGACGGGCTCTATGAGGGCCTCGACTGGCTTGCCAACCAGCTCAAGAACAAGAAGTGAAGGGGGGATCCCCCTGTGCCCCCCCTGGGCCATGCCAGGGCCCCCCCCGGCCGCCCCCTCCCTGCCCCGGTTGGGTTTTGCTTTCTTCTGGCACCGGTTGCTGTGGGGTTTTTCGCCTTTTTTTGGGGTCCCCCTGGTTCCCCTCGGATCTCGTGTGTGCGTGCGTGGAATTAGAGCTCTATATAACGCCCAGGGGGGCAGGGGCAGAGCCCTGGCAGGGTGGGATGGGGGCTGGGGGAGGGTGGGGGGGCCACCTCAGCACTGCCCTGCCCTGGGGGGGCCGGGGACACCCCGTCCCCATGCATGTCCCTCCTGCACCCCTCGCCTTCCTCTGGACCAAATGTGGGGGCAGCAGGGCCATGGGAGGGGGGGGATTTGGGATTATACACCTCCCCCACCCTCCCAGCACCCCCTCCCAGCCCTGTTTGCCCCCCCTGGGCATTCCACACGTCCCCGGCCCCCCCCCACCCCATGTCACTTCGAGGCAGGTCTGCTTCCCGCAGCGTGACCCTCACAGAGAGGTGGGAGTGACACAGAGCTGCCAGGACCTCTTCGGTCCCTTTGGCCATGGCCCCCACCTCACCCTGGCCACCTGCCCATCCTCTCCCCCCCCATGCCAGCATAGTGATTGTATGTCCCTGCCCCTCACGGACGGACAGTGTCCCCCCCCTTGCCCCCCCCAAGCCCGTTCTGTGCCCCCCACCCCTCCCCAGCACCGTATTTATACCCCTGGTCTGTGCTTGGTGTGACGTGTCGCTGCGGCTCTGCCCTGTCCAGGGACGTGTGTTCTCAGCCCCCCAGCCCCCCCCTGAGCCTGAGACGGTGGGTGACCTCCCCTGACCCCCCCTGACCCCCCCCCTTGGATATTAAACATGTTTTATGTAGCTCTGCCCCTCGTCTCTTCTTCCGTGGGGGTCCCGCCGAGGGGACGGTGATGGACAGCCCTGGGCTGGCTTTAATTAGAAAGAGCTTAACGGGGAGGGGGGGGGGTGAGGTGGGGCTGGCAGGGGGTGAGGGCCCCCCCCCCACTTCCCAGGCTCATCTTTAGGGGAATATTGGATGAAATGGTAAATCCCATTAGTGCTAATCCCAGCTGGGGCGTGGGGACGGTGCCAGCGCTGGGACGGGCGCGAGTGGGGCTTGGCCCCCCCCTCCTGCCACCTCTTCCCTGTGTCACGCCCCCCCCCAGCATGGGTTAAGGGGGGCTGAGTGGCATTTGGGGCCGGCACTGCCATCCCATCCCCGTGTCCCCTCTGGGCTGGTGGCTGGAGGGGCTTTTGGCCATGTCTGTGTCATTGGGGGCTGTGGTGGGGGGTCCCTGGTGGCTGGGAGAGCTGCAGAGACAGAGCCAGGGCCCAGAATGGGGTGACCAGGGCCCAGAATGGGGTGACCAGAGCCAGCACCAGGGCCCAGAATGGGGTGACCAGGGCCCAGAATGGGGTGACCAGAACCAGCACCAGGACCCAGAATGGGGTGACCAGGGCCCAGAATGGGGTGACCAGGGCCCAGAATGGGGTGACCAGAACCAGCACCAGGGCCCAGAATGGGATGACCAGGGTCCAGCACCCTGGAATGGGCTGACCAGAGCTGGCACCAGGGCCCAGAATGGGGTGACCAGAACCAGCACCAGAGCCCAGAATGGGGTGACCAGGGTCCAGCACCCCAGAATGGGGTGACCAGAGCCAGCACCAGGGCCCATAATGGGGGTGACTAGGACCCAGCACCCTGGAATGGGGTGACCAGAGCCAGCACCGACCAGGACTCCCCAGTGGGTTGGGGGCCCTAGAGGTGACATGGGGGTGCTCCAGTGCAGGTGACCCGTGCCCCACAGTGGCCTGGAGCACATGGAGGTGACATGGGGGTGCTCCAGTGCAGGTGACCCGTGCCCCACACTGCCCTGGGGACCATGGGGATGATACCAGGGAGCCGCACTGGGGATAACCGGGGCTCTGGGAGCTCCACCGGGGGGCTCGGTGCGGATCACCGGGGCTCCCCGGTGGGCGGGAGCAGCGGAGCCGGCACCGACGCGTTCCCACCGGCTGCACCGACGGCTTTGTGTGGCGAGGGCTGACCCGGCGGCCCTAATCCCATTAACGCCCCGGGCCCCGCCGCCAGCCCGGCTTCCCCACCTCTCGGCAACCGAGCCTGGTATGTGGGTGCGCCGGTGGGGCCGGCGTGCCGATGCCGTCGTCCGGGAGCTGCACCGGGCGTCAGCATCGTCACCATCCCGGAGCGGCACCGGGGCCGGTGACACCAATGAGACCGTCCCCGTGGACACGGGGCGGGAGATCCCGGCTGCCCACCGTGTGCCCCACGGACCGAGGGGATGTCCTAAAAGGGCCGGCTGTCCCCAAGGACGGGGCTCCTGGGGCCGGTTCCGTTCCACCGGGCTCCAGCCGGCCCGCGGGCTCGGTTTCCCTTGGAAGAGCTGCACAAGTGTCAGGAGAAGGAGAAGGAATGGCCTGGAGCCGTGGGGTGCTGCAGAAGGGGTCTGGACCCGGGGAGGGGTCCTGGGCCCCGGTGGGTGCCGGTTTCCCCGGGCTGTGCTGCCGCCTGCTGGCACCGGCGCCGCCAGGACACCGGGAGCTGCACCCAACCGGTGCTCGGGACGCGTTCCCCGGCCCGGACCCTCCGGTTTGATCCCCTCGGTCTCTGACCCTCACCCGGAGCCCCCGCTCGGTGCGGGCCGAAGCCGCCGGGACGGTCGGGCTGGGGCGGACTCCGGTGCCCGCCGGGGTCCCCGCGGAGCACCGGGCACCGGGGCAGGGCCGGTCCTGAGCATCCTTCCGTCCTTCCGCTCCGCTGGGGAGGTGCCGGTGCCCGTCCCGGGGCCGGTCTCGGTGTGGGGGCGGTCCCGGGGGCGGGGCCGGGGTGTGGGGGCGGTCCCGGTGCCGGTGCCCGTTCCTCCGCCGCCAGCCCGGCCATGCCGTTCCCCGCCGCGCTGCTCCTCTTGGCTCTGCTGCTGCCGCCGCCGCCGCTCTCCCGCGCCGCCGAGAGCGAAACCGAAAGCGGCTCCCGGGAGCTACGGCTGGAAACGATCGTGAGCCCGGGAGGGAACGGGGGAACCGGGGACCGGGCACCGGGGATCCACGCGGCCCCGTTGGACAGGCTGGGACCGGGGCGGGACCGGCAGGCACCGAGAGGGACCGGTGGCACCGGCGGCACCGGCGGGACACCCAGCACCGGCGGGACGGTGCCGCTCGGGGGGCACCGGGGAGCCCGGCCTGCGCACGGGGCGGGGGAGGAGGCACCGGGAGGCCCGGGCTGCGGCGGGAGGGAGCCACGGGGCACCGGGAGCACCGGGCTGCCATGGGAGGGCACCGGGAGCACCGGGCTGTGGCGGAGGAAGGCGGCGCACCGAGAACCGGGGGCCCGGCTGGGACTTCGGGGTGCTCGGGGGGCTGCGGGCGCGGGGGCTGCGGGGATCCCGAGGGGAGGGGGCTCCGTCCCGGTTCTCCGTGACCTCCCCGTTGCAGGTGGCCCCTCCCGAGGGCTGCACGGAGCTGTCGGCGCCGGGGGACACGGTGCACATCCACTACACGGTGGGGACGGGCGGGAGGAACACGTCAGCACTGCGCTCCCGGCGGGCGGGGCGGGGGGCACCGGCACCGGCACCGGCAACGGCACCGGGGCGGTACCGGGGGTGGTACCGGGGTGGTACCGGGGTGGGAAATGGGGCGGTACCGGGGTGGTACCGGGGTGGAACCGGAGTGAGCGTAGGGGTGGTGGCGGGGTGGGCATGAGGGCTGGACGAGGGGATGGTGCCATGGTGTCACTGGGAATGGCATGGGGACAGTGCCAGGATGGGCTCTGGTGGCACCTGGGGCGGCACGGGGGTGACACGGGCTGGGATAGCCCCAGGATGGGCTCTGGTGGCACCTGGGGCGGCACGGGGGTGACACTGGGGCTGGGATAGCCCCAGGATGGGCTCTGGGTGGCACCTGGAGTGGCACGGGGGTGACACTGGGGCTGGCATGGGCACGGCTGGCACTGGGATCAACCCGGGGATTACCTTGGGATAGCCCTGGCACAGAGTGACCCAGAGTGCACCGTGACAGGGATGGCACTGGGGTGGCACTGGGGTGGCACAGGGACTGCCATCAGCACAGGGATGGCACAGGGGGGGCACAGGGATCAGCACAGGGATGGCACAGGGATCACCACAGGGATGGCACAGGGACTGGCATCAGCACAAGGGTGGCACAGGGATGCACAGGGGGGCTGCAGGGACTGGGGTCAGCACAGGGATGGCACTGGGATGACACAGGGATGGCACAGGGATGGCACAGGGACTGGGATCAACCCCAGAGCAGCACTGGGAACACACTGGCAGCCACGCAGGGGTGACGGTGGCAGTGACCCTGGCCATGCCCCACACAGGGCACCCTGGAGGATGGCAGGATCATCGACTCCTCGCTGAGCCGGGACCCCCTGCAGGTGGAGCTGGGCAAGCACCAGGTGATCCCTGGTGAGTGAGGGGCCAGGGGGAGCAGGGCTGGGGGGTCACCAGGGTAACCCCAACCGGCCCCACTCACCCTCACCCCACTCTGTCACAGGCCTGGAGCAGAGTCTGCTGGACATGTGTGTGGGGTAAGTGCACACTGGGGACACGGGGGTGGGCAGTGTCCCCTCCCCAGTGTCCCCACCACAATTTGTGGCACCAACGCTGTCACCGTGGCAGGGAGAAGCGCAGAGCCATCATCCCCCCTCACTTAGCCTACGGCAAAAGGGGCTCCCCCCCAACCATCCCAGGTGAGTGCAGCCCTCAGGGGGGTCCCTGTGGGGTCTATGTGGGGTCTCTGTGGGGTCCTTGCTCAGGCTGTGCCCCCCTTGCAGGTGATGCTGTGCTGCGCTTCGAGGTGGAGCTGGTGGCGTTGGCCCGGGCCAGTTACTGGCAGAAGGTGCTGAACGAGGTGGTGCCACTGCTGTGCCTGGGGCTGGTGCCAGCACTGCTGGGCCTCATTGGCTTCCACCTGTACCGCAAGGCCAGCAGCCCCAAGCTCTCCAAGAAAAAGCAGAAGGAGGAGAAGAGGAACAAAGCTAAAAAGAAATAAAACCTTCCCCTTTTGGCATCTGTGGTTGCTCTTCCTGAGAGAGTGATGGGCACAGGGCAGTGGGAAGGGGCTGTGCACCCCTCAGCTCCCTGCCTGCCCCAGGGCCTTGATGGGTCCTGTCAGGTGACAGACT